GCTCCCCAAATCCCCTCTAAACCCCCCAAAATCCTCTCTAAACACCCCAAAATCCTCTCTAAACACCCCAAAACCCCCTCTAAACACCCCAAAACCCCCTCTAAACACCCCAAAATCCCCTCTAAACACCCCAAAATCCTCTCTAAGCACCCCAAAATCCTCTCTAAACACCCCAAAATCCCCTCTAAACACCCCAAAATCCCCTCCGGACCCCCCAAACCCCCCCCGGGTTCCCCCAAATTTCCCCCGGGCCCCCCCAAATCCCTTTTGAGGCCCCGCCCCTTTTCCCGAGGCCCCGCCCACCCCGCTTTCCCATTGGCCGCCGCTCCCTCGGTGACCCGGAAGTGGCTCCGCCCCCGCCGTGACCCGGAAGTGCAGCGGAAGCGGCGGGAGCGGGAGCGCGGCAGCCATGTGAGAGCGGCGGGGGAAAACCGGGAAAAACCGGGAAAAACCGGGGAAAAACGGGGAAAAAACGGGGAAAAACGGGGAAAAACGGGGAAAAAACGGGAACGGGGAGGATCGGGGAGGGGGCGAGCGGGGGGAACCGGGGAAAGGCGGAGCTGGGGAGCGGGGGGACACCGGGAGGGGACGGAAAGGGCCGGGGCCTGCTCTTTGTCGCCGTTCGGGTCCTGTCGCTGTCCCCAAACCGCTCCCGGTGTCCCCGAACCGTTCCCGGTGTCCCCGAACCGCTCCCGGTGTCCCCAGACCTGTCCCGGTGTCCCCGAACCGTTCCCGGTGTCCCCGAACGGCTCCCGGTGTCCCCACATCCCCCATTCCCTGCTGTCCCCCGATGTCCCCCGCTGTCCCCGATGTCCCCTCGGTGTCCCCAGGAGGCCACTGAAGGACCCCGAGAGCGAGGTGACCCCAGAGATCGATCCCTGATGTCCCCAAATGTCCCCAAATGTCCCCACATCCCGTGACCCCCTGATGTCCCCAACGTCCCCCCGATGTCCCTTTGGTGTCCCCAATGTCCCCCTGATGTCCCCGTGATGTCCCCAATGTCCCCCTGATGTCCCCAACGTCCCCCCGATGTCCCTGTGGTGTCCCCAGGAGTCTCCTGAACCAGCCCAAGAGCGAGATGACGCCCGAGATCGATCCCCAGGGTGTCCCCACATCCCCTGACCCCCTGATGTCCCCAATGTCCCTGTGGTGTCCCCAATGTCCCCGTGGTGTCCCCAATGTCCCCAATGTCCCCCTGATGTCCCCCTGATGTCCCCGTGGTGTCCCCAATGTCCCCAGGAGTCTCCTGAACAAGCCCAAGAGCGAGATGACGCCCGAGGAGCTGCAGAAGCGCGAGGAGGAGGAGTTCAACACGGGCCCGCTGTCGGTGCTGACGCAGAGCGTGAAGAACAACACGCAGGTGCTCATCAACTGCCGCAACAACAAGAAACTGCTGGGGCGCGTCAAGGCCTTCGACAGGTGAGGAGATGTCCCCAGGGTGTCCCCAGGGTGTCCCCAGGGTGTCCCCAGGGTCCCCAAAGTGTCCCCAGAGTGTCCCCAGGGTCATCAAAGTGTCCCCAGGGTGTCACCAGGGTCATCAAAGTGTCCCCAGAGTGTCCCCAGGGTGTCCCCAGAGTGTCCCCAGGGTCCCCAGAGTGTCCCCAGAGTGTCCCCAGAGTGTCCCCAGGGTGTCCCCAGGGTCCCCAGGGTGTCCCCAGGGTCCCCAGAGTGTCCCCAGGGTGTCCCCAGGGTGTCCCCAGGGTGTCCCCAGGGTGTCCCCAGGGTCCCCAGAGTGTCCCCAGGGTGTCCCCAGGGTGTCCCCAGAGTGTCCCCAGGGTGTCCCCAAGGTGTCCCCAGGGTCCCCAGGGTGTCCCCAGGGTGTCCCCAGGGACACCACAGTGACCTCAGGGTCCCCAGAAGGTCCCCAGGGTGTCCCCAAGGTCAGCTCTGTGACCTCAGGGTGTCTTCACGGTGTCCCCAGGGTGTCCCCAAGATCCTCAGAGTGTCCCTGGAGTCACCACGGTGTCCCCAAACTGTCCCCAAGGTCCCCAAAGTCCCCAAATCCAATTTTTTCCCCTGCAAATCCTGGTTTATCCCCTCCAAAATCCCCATTTTTCCCCCAAAAATTCCATCTTTCCCCCCAGTCCGGGTTTTTTCCCTCCAAATCCCATTTTCCCCCCCAAATCCCATATTTCCCCTCCAAATCCCGTTTTTTCCCCCCCAACTCCAGTTTTTCTCCCCCCCGAATCCCGGATTTTTCCCCCCCAAATCCCGTTTTTCCCGTCCAGATCCCGGTTTTCCCCCCGCGATCCCATTGTGTTTCCTGTCGGGATCCCGTTGTGTTTCCCGTTGTGTTTCCTGTTGGGATCCCGTTGTGTTTCCCGTGGTGTTTCCTGTTGTGTTTCCCGTTGTGTTTCCCGTTGTGTTTCCCGTTGTGTTTCCTGTTGGGATCCCGTTGTGTTTCCCGTTGTGTTTCCCGTTGTGTTTCCCGTTGTGTTTCCCGTTGTGTTTCCCGTTGTGTTTCCCGTTGTGTTTCCTGTTGTGTTTCCCGTGGTGTTTCCCGTTGTGTTTCCCGTGGTGTTTCCCGTTGTGTTTCCCGTTGTGTTTCCCGTTGTGTTTCCCGTTGGGATCCTGTTGTGTTTCCCGTTGTGTTTCCCGTTGGGATCCTGTTGTGTTTCCCGTTGTGTTTCCCGTTGTGTTTCCTGTCACGATCCCGAGTTTCCCGTCGGGATCCCGATGTGTTTCCCGTTGTGTTTCCCCCCGCGATCCCGTTGTGTTTCCCGTGGTGTTTCCCGTCGGGATCCCGTGGTGTTTCCCGTGGTGTTTCCCGTTGGGATCACGTGTTTCCCGTGGTGTTTCCCGTGGTGTTTCCCGTTGTGTTTCCCGTGGTGTTTCCCATGGTGTTTCCCGT